GTGGGGGGGTGGGGGGGTGGGGGGGGGGGGCCCAGATGTCTAGTGGAGAAAGGAAGGGACCGAGAGCGGAGAGGCACTTAAGGCTGCTGGGATCTGCCAGATGTTCAGGGAGGCTGAACAGGCAGCGTTGGCTGCTGTGTCTGGGGACCCTCCCCCAACCTGGCTGCCCCCTCGTTCCCGGAGTTGTAACCCAACTTATTTGGAGGGCATCTGCTCGGGTAAGGCGGATCAACCTCCAGGCCTTCTGGGCAGCCTGTTGGCACGGTCAGTGGGTGCCCACGGCCCAACATTTCTGTGAAAGAATCAGGCAGCGAGGTGCTGGAGAAAGGCACGTATTTGCCCCCCCCAAGAAAGGAAATGGTAGGAAAAAATAATTGCTCTTTAGGAAGACCCCTTTGGTCATCTAGGTGGGCTGCTGCATTGAACAAGTCAGGAAGAACCCCACGTGCAAGAGCACTCTACCTTAGAGGCACCAAGCCACCAGATGCGTTCCACAACAAAGTGTGAAGCCTCCGTTCCCTGAAGCCCAGAGTTCAGGTCATCCTCCTTTAGGGACCGCAATTGGGACTGTCAACTCGGTTGTTAAGCGAAGCGGTCGCTAAGTGAAACCGCAATGGGTTATAGCAGGGATTCCTTCCTGGGAACTCCCACTGTGCTTCAGGACACAAAACTCACGCGTGGACACGTGCCCTCACCTTCAAGCACCTGCATCAGATAGTGTGCGTGCACGCACACGTGCGCACATGTGCACCCCCCCCCCCCCCCCCATTTTCAGATCCTCTGTGCTGCAGATTCTGTGCTTGGTCTCTGTTCTTAACCGGGATGATTAAACCGGTCATTAATAATTCTTCGTGACCGAATTAGGTGGTTTTGTTTTATTTTTACTTCTCTTATATGAAGTTAAACAATGAAATATACACATATATTAATACTTTATGTACATTTTTTTTAAAAAAAAAAGTGCTCCAAGGAAGATGCCAAATTTTCCACACGCGCTCCCCCCCACCCCCAATCCTGTGCACGTGATAAAAAACAGAAACAGCTTTGCAGCCTTCGGTTCTCCCTGTTCGGATGGCTCTTGGCAAAACGGGTCGGTTTGCAGACTTGCCGCCCCCCCCCGAGAATTTCCTCAGTTTCTCTTCCGGAGAAGCGCTTCGCTGGCCCTCAAATTTTGGAGAGGAGCAGATTTAGGGACTCACGGCAGTTGCGACTACAATATTAAACATTGCTACAATATTAAAAGGATTCTTCCCCCCTCCTCTTGTTTTGCATGTTTTTAAAAAGAAAGGCGTTTACTTATTTATTTTTCTTTTTTTGCAAACCAGGTGTGCAAAAGCCACCCCCTGACTTTGGGCATGTTGGAAAACGTCTACATATTTTTCTTTCCCGCTCAGGGAGGTTCCCCAGCAGGGAGGGAATGAGCTTTCAAACCTCTCTGTGGACTAGCACCTTGCGCAAGCCGATTTTAAGAGCTGGCTCTTCCAAACTAAGCCGACCAAGGATCGAGGAGCAGGTGCGGATGAACCAAGCCGGACAATGCTTTAAAACTCTTGGGAAGGAATGTTTGGGGAACTCCTGGAGGGGCATAATTTGGCCTTCACCGAATTCTCCGCCATCGAACAGAACGGAAGAAGCTCTTCCCCAGAAAAAGGGGGCCATCAAAATGCAAGAGAGCCGGTCGGACCCCGGCTGAGCTTCTGCCTTTGCGCCAGAATCTGAGACCACGGACGGGAGGTTGGGCACCAAGTCTTGAAGTCCTTCCCCCGCCAACGACCGCCGGAGGGAAAGGCCGCGAGTTCGAGTCTCACGAGCCCGCTTGGAAAGCCGCTTCGCATTCCCCGTTTTTCGGCCGCCAAACCGAAGGGAGCCGCGGCCTCCTCTTTTGGGAGAAACACACACGCACGAACACCAAAAGTGCTACAAAGACAGGCTGGGGGCCGCCCTTCCCACCACTAAGCAAACACGGTTCTCTAACCCAGGAAAGGTACAGGCGGGCCAGCCCGACACGAGTTCAGTTCACTCGGAGTTGGTCTGCCGAGGAGCCGAGCGTCCCTCTGCGTTTTGGAGAGCCCGCTTGGCCTCCAGAAATGCCCCCGGGTGCCAGGCGGATGCCAGCGGGACTTGACAAAGCCACCACGAAACCTCTTCTAGGAACCCCCCGGCTCCCATTTGGCTCCACCCGACAGCGTGAAATTCATCCTTCAAGTCTTTCCAAAGCGATAACGCTGACTTTTGAGTCCTCGTGCCAAACGGGGAATAAAAACAAGGCTGTTGAGAGGCTGGCTCTGGCCGAGAGGAAGGAGGGCCCCCGGGGCCCCCACAGAGGCTCCTTTTCCTGGCCACCTGCTTGAACGTGCCTCTGCTCTCCCCAGTGGGTCTGTGCCCGGGGCATTTCGCCAGCCTTCGGAAGCCAAATTCTGTGCCCCTTCACAGGGTGCAAGCCTCGGGTGGGAGAGAGATTCTTTGCATAAGGAATGGGTGAGGGTGGGCTTTGCCAGGCCGCCACCTCCATGACCCTCACCCATGAGGTAGGGAGGAACGGCCAGCTTTGATAAGGGGCCCCTCGGGGCGCCTGGACGGGCCAAAGAAGCTTCCGGAAGCATCTTGCGGGAAGAGAGAGAGAGAGAGAGAGAGAAGGAACCAGGCGTCCCCCTCGCCAAGCTCCACCTGCCCCACCTTTGTGGGACCTTCCCTCTCACAAGGCACAGTGGGATTTGTAGTCCTGGTGGTGGATGTCCTCGGACACGGCACAAGCGGACCTTCCCTCCGGGCAGAGCGACGGGCTCCGACCTCCCCGGCTCGGGGTTCAAGGGACAAGCAAACCTCTCCTTCCGGGGCTCAATAGTTGAA